TCTTTTTATGACTGAATAGTATTCCATGGTATACAGATACCACAGTTTATTGATCCATTGATGGGTTGGTGGGCAATGGGTGGCTTCCATGTCTTGGCAGTTGTGAATCGAGCTGCAGTACATATTCAACTATACATATCCTTGTAATAAAATGATTTTTTTTCTTCTGGGTAGATTCTAGTAATGGGACTAAAGGATCCCATGGAAGGTCTATGTTTAGCTCTTTGAGGATTCTCTACTTTTCTTTCTATAGAGGCTATATTAGTTTGCAATCCCACCAGCAGTATAAAAGTGTTCCCTTCTCTGCACATCCATGCCAGCATTTACAGCTTTGGGATTTTTGTGAAATGGACTATTCTCACTGGGGTTTGGTGATATCTCAGAGTGGTTTTGATTTGCATTTCTCTGAAGATTAGGGACAGGAGCATTTTTTCATGTGTTTCTTGGACATTCATCTGTCTTCCTCAGAGAAGTTTCTGTTCAATTCTCTTCTTACCCACTTATAAATGGGATTGCTTGCTCTTACTGATTAGTTTGAGTTCTCTGTAGATTCTAGTTATCAGTATGTATATGAAAATATGTAGACTGATAACTAGAATCTACATATTTTCATATGCACATTAGCACAGACACCTAGATTTGTAAATTAAATGGTAACTTTTATCTGTTTAATGATCTCATGATAAAATAACACCTAACATTAGAATCTAGAGTTCATTGTCATTGCCTGGCACGTAATAGTTTATCAATGGGCTCAGCACCTGTGGCTCAAGCCGCTAAGGGGCCAGGCACATACACCTGAGCTGACGGGTTTGAATCTAACCCAGGCCCACCAAACAACAATGATGGCTGCAACCAAAAAAAAATTGCTGGGCATTGTAGCGGGTGCCTGTAGTCCCAGCTACTTGGGAGGCAGAGCAGGAAAATTGCTTGAGCCCAGAAATTAGAGGTTGCTGTGAGCTGTGATGCTACAGCACTCTACGCAGGGCAATGCCTTGAGGCTCTGTCTCAAAACAATAATAATAATAATAATAATTTCTCAATGAATAAAAATTATTCCAAAATAGTAATACCTAAGCTTACAAAAATATGACCATTGATAATTCTAAAAAGTACAATGTCACATGCACAACTAATGTTTTGCTTAATAATGTAAAAATATACGTTCCTTTTGGAAAAATGTTTAGAGAACACTTAGAGATCTAAAAATAGACCTGCCATTTAATCCTACAATTCCTCTACTAGGTATATATTCAGAAGACCAAAAATGACATTATAAC